CGCAGATCGATGCTCATGCTGTTGATCACTGGATTGTCTGGTCCAGACTCGATTATTTACAGACCGCCGCCATATGGCTGGAATATTGCTGGGTGCGGCGTAGAACTCAACTCATTCACTCACTCACAATCATGAACCAATGAATAATGTGCTGTACTGCCTTTGGGTCCATTGGCGAATGTAACTTTTAATTTTGCATATATTATAATACCTCACATTGAAATTGTAAAACATTGTATTGAAAAGATACGCATTGCAAATCATAATCTATTCACAATTTTCAGTATCAACATCATTTAATTTACCGAGGTTGTTTATTGGTTTTAATCTAATTTATTTTTCATTTCAGGTTGAAGATTTCTGAATGGATGTCCTTGCAGACATGCCTTACGACCAGAGATGTTCGCAGTTTGCCAATTACTAGACGACAAACTGGGTAAAAAGAGAATCTTCCTTCATGGAACCACCACGACGCAGACGGGCCCAGAACAAACAACAGTCTAGAGAGGTGGCATGATCGAATCAAGATCGTTGGCAAAGCCCACCCCAGTATATTCGAAATTGTCAAGTTTTTGACTGATGAACAGAAATTCAACGAGTTGACAATGGTGCAATACAGTGCTGGACAGAAACTTCCCCCAAGAAAAAGAAGTACCAGGATCTGCAGAGAGAAATTGCACTCGGTCATTCAATATATTGTGTACTCTCCTCGCGCATCCAAGACACAGGTGCACCTTGTTCTCATGCTCCTTATCAAGTTCATAACGAAAGCTTGCGGAATCGCATTCCATTCCTCTACTAGAGCTCTGCGGAATCATGGGAGATCCGCTGGTGCTAGGTGACCTGTGTACACACGTCGACCAAGTTCATCCCAGGCATGCTCAATTGGGTTGAGGTCTGGTAACCAGGCTGGCCACTCCATCGGCTCTTCACCCTGCTGCCTAAGGAATTCTGTGACAATACTGGCCCCATGAGGCTTAGTCTGTCTCACAGTCCCTGAACCACATTTTTTCCCCTACTGCCAAGCTCTCTCTGCAGTGCTAAAGCCCTAAATAAAGCAAGTCTAGATTTCCTCAGGTTCTGAATCTCTGGTCTCCTTAGGGCTCCTTTTCAATATAAATGGGCTTGTTTGTTACTATCAAAATTATATATATTCAGAGACTAAGCATTAGTCTACATGAGGCCTAGCGTAATCGTCTAGCAGTAAAGTGGGTCAACCATAAAATCCATGCATCGCTTGCAGGGATGGTACTGCTATAAGAGCCATAACGCTGTCCGATAAGATACCCACGAGCAGTGTAGTACGTCCAGTAGGAGGTATCCTTGCCCAAACCATAATGCCTATAGCCTGACCACTTTCAGTAAGTATAAAAAAAGCCTCGTTTATAATGACCTGCACATGCAAATCATTGAAATTAAGCGGCAGGTGAAGTTCCACATAGACAATATAAACAAAGAAAATGTGCCAAAAGTATTGGACTTTAAAGGACGTAATAATGACATTTCAACGGCCTGATGTGTTTTTCCATACTGTTAAGAAAGTTTGTAAAACATTCAGTTGTATATATTTCAAACAAATACGAAGATTTTACAACTTTTGAGAAATAGTGTTACCAATAGCTTCACCCTTCATTAATGACGCAGAGTATATATTGGGATAAATACAATAGGTGTACATTTATATCTTGTAGGAGCATTTAATACCATGATAAGTATACGTTAGCACCCTCCTCAAGGGTGATATGGATTTAAACGCTCGAGCCGTCAGGCGAGAGCGTTGAATCCACATCACCCGCAGAGGGGGGGTGCTAACCTACTTATACCACGAGGGCGCCGCATGGACTCGTACATTGCTTGTTGCTCGTGCGTTTCCTGCACCGACCAGGTCGTTATCCACATATCAACCTCTGCACGTGCAGACAGAAGGTTGATACGCAGAAAATCAACCCGCCGGAACAATGGACATAACACACCCTAGTGGTATAAGTAAGACAGCTTTTCTTTTTGTGTCCGTTAGGACGACCTTTAGCGCTATGTGTGCTAAAGGTGCTGTCAGGCCTCGATTTGGGGAATTAGCTATAGGGAGCAAGCCTTGAAACCTTGAAACAAGAAAGGAGCCAGAGCTATGAGATCCAGGGTTTATTCAAGCAAGTGTCTTGCATGACATTCAAAGTACATCAATTCATACATAATAATTACATACAATAATAGAAATAGTAATCAATGATATCCTAATACAGTTTATACCTAAGTCCGGTAATACAAGCAATGTGTGGTACATCAGGGTACGTACGGTAACTGCTTACAGAAACATAATACAAATAATACAACATTTTCTTGAGTAACTACGGTACTGATAAATAACATAACCTGACGGATAAATTAATCATCAACAACAATTGCAAAGAACAAATACTGAGTGGAGCGCCCAACAGTTTACTTACAGCATGTAGTGCCTAGTTCATTAACTGTTGTGCGGATTTGTGACTATTACGTTATGTCCCGCCTAATGCGTTAACTACGGTAGCGATTTATGACAATTACGGTATGTAGTGCCTATTGCGTTAACTACTGTAGGAATTTATGACTATTAGGGTATGTTGCGCTTAGTGTATTGACTACGGTAGGAATTTACTATTATTACGGTATGTCGCGCTTAATGCATTAGCTACGGTAACGATTTATGACTTGTGTAAGTAATTTCCGTTATCAACAAACATGCCTTGAGCAAATACGGTAAACGGCGCGAAGTGCTCAGAATTGACATATACCATTTAACTCCGGTATTGACTGTATGCATTCTAACTGTAATGTTAACATATATTTTCTCAATACAATAATTTCGCTAGATACGGTAAGTGGAACTAGAGAGTGATATAAATATGTGTAACTACGGGGACAGACGATATAGTTTTAGCTAGAGTCCTACTTTGTCCCATCCTGAATTATTTGGGTGACTACGGTAAATGTATTTCAACGGCGATGTTGCTATTGGCAACGTGTAATATCGACATATACGGAGTTAAGCCATGACCTAGAATATATGTAATGCTGTAGTGCTACATTTTGTGCTTTACAAAACAAGACAGTAACTTAGTTAAATGAATATGTAATAATGTACCAGGACGGCGCTGTTGTTATTGGCTACGCGAATTTCTTAAATTACGGAGCTAAACCAATACGGAACGAAGACTGTAATTGCAAACTACACGGATTTGAATGTATATTTTCTGGTAATATGAAGAGTAGACAATACCATTTTCTACTGATTACGGTAATGTGATTCGCGTATAAACTGTTCTGTACGGTATACAACTGCACGCGGAACGAAACGTTTAATACATCATTATTCAAATTCTTATAGTGTTGGTGAAATATCAAAACACAAATGTTGGCTGTTATACCTATCATGTGAGCGCGTATCTGAGGTAAATCTACACGAATATCATTTGATCGGCGGACTATAGTAAAATACATAAACTTCGTCTTTGCTGGAATTGATTGTATAAACTCTCGGAACTGTTTTTGTGACTAAGCTACTAGAATCTAGACTACTGAACGAGAATCTAACCTGCATATACAGAACTAACACGCAAATGAATAAAACAAGACAAAAGACTGGGAATACACTCATGTGTGTCGAAACATAGAAAAGAACTATTCGTTTGTACATGAAAAACATAAACTTGAGGAGCCCACGACGCAATGTGCATAAATAAATATCCCTGGGTAGTGCCTAATAATTAATCGGTTATCTAGAACTAGCATTTGCAATGACAAAGCGCTCCAATGTTGTAGGAATGTTTCTAACCTAACTCTAACATTTTCTAGACGATAATTGCAAAGAAATAACAAGTTAAACAAGACTAAAGTTTAAATGTTTCTTACCTTGAAACAAGAAAGGAGCCAGAGCTATGAGATCCAGGGTTTATTCAAGCAAGTGTGCCTGAGATGGAAGAACCCAGGATTTTATACCCCACAGCTCTGCTCGTTTGTCATTATCAAGTTTCTATAAAGTTGAAGTTTCCATATGCGTTATCTACCCTATGCTGACAAAGTATACTACACGAGGTGGGTGGTAAGAAGATGATTACCTAACAAGGTTTGATTTTCTTTATGGTGTAGCCACGGTCAGCTTGCGCCAGCTGCTTAACAAAATATCTGTCAGCGCCTGACCATGGCATTTACGACAGGACAAAGAGGATGGCATGATGGTAATCTCGACTGACCTGTGCACATGTACATACGTAAGATCCGCCGACGTGGGGAGATGTAATTGACATTTACTGATGGCATTGAGAATTGAGGGTCCTGCCCTGAGGGGGGGTTTAAGATAAAAGGGCTACACCGAATGATTGCTGAATACATTAAACAGACAAAGGGGATAGAATTTCGGTGCACTCTGGAAATATATGGAAACAATAATGTTGTTTGAATATATGAAGTTTTAGAGAAACTTATTGAAATGGTTTACTCTATGACATAAGTATAGGTTAGCACCCTCCTCAAGGGTGATATGGATTTCAACGCTCGAGCCGTCAGGCGAGAGCGTTGAATCCACATCACCCGCAGAGGGGGGGGGTGCTAACCTACTTATACCACGAGGGCGCCGCATGGACTCGTACATTGCTTGTTGCTCGTGCGTTTCCTGCACCGACCAGGTCGTTATCCACATATCAACCTCTGCACGTGCAGACAGGAGGTTGATACGCAGAAAATCAACCCGCCGGAACAATGGACATAGCACACCCTAGTGGAATAATGTGCGATAACTGCATCTGTTGTATCATATTTGTTGGCAAAGCATGTGCAACAACATGGAGAGTTCTTATCTTATAAACAACGGCTTGCCTGAAAAATGCTTTAAGATCCAGTTTGGAAAAGGAGCAATTCGGATGAACAATTGCTATTGTTCTATGTTTTGGTAAACATCAAATCCCAACTAATGTGCTGGTCAACAATAATAATATATGAATGCTGATGTACGCATATTGACTCACCTATGACAGTGCTGACAATGACGAGAAACAGTGAAACTTTCATGTCTGATCGTGGGGCGAAATACTTTCACAGTAATGTATTCATACGGTTCATCCTCTTAGATACCTGTGTTCCGTGAAACCTGCACCAATCACGTGAGTCACGGTGTTCTGATGTACAGCAGCTTCTAGTCCCGGGGAATGCATGTTAATGAAAGCGTTCATCCATGAAACAGATATGTGGAGTGAAGTGGAGAGGAGAGGAGAGGAGTGGGAAGGGGAGGAGGGTGGGGGAGGAGCGGGTGGGGAGGGGAGGGGAGGGAGGGAGAGAGGAGAGTGGGAGGGCTGAGAGGGGAGGAGGAAGTGGGGAGGAAAGAGAGAGGGAGGGAGGAGGAGAGGGGAGGTTATGGGAGGAGGGAGCAGTGGGGTGGAGAGGGAGGAGAGGGAAGAGCGGAGAGGAAGAGGGAGGGGAGGAGTGGAGAGGGAAGGAGCTGAGTGGGGTGGGGGAGAGGGAGGGAGGGGAGGAGGAGGAGAGGGAAGGAGTTGAGTGGAGAGGGGAGTGGAGCGGATGGAGAGGGGAGGGGAGAGTTGGGGGAGGGGTGGAGTGGAGAGGAGCGGAGCGAGTGAGTTACAATTTAACTTCATCTCGGCAATATTTCAGCCATATAGTGATGCTCTAGATGTCATCAAAGAACTGTAAAACATCTAGAGTATCACAGATGGTGTCTAAAACTAGCATGTAAATGTAAAATATGTTATGTACAAAGACAATACAACATAAAAACAAGCTATAGCTACCTGCATGGACCCTACTTGGATTTGCACCACCCAAACAGTCGCTTGCGATTGTAGGAAACGCTTAGCCGAATTTTAAAAGAACAAAAATACTACGTTTAAAAATCTGGTAAGCTTAAATTTAACTTTGAACGTTTTAGGACTCACATACCCTCTCAGGGGGACAATAATGTTACGATACTTTAACCCCCTTTGAGGGTACAGTCACTAACAATCGCAGTTGCTAATTTATACTACCATGTTAAATACCATTTATCTATTTACAAAACATATTATTCAAAATTTATCTAATAATTCTATTTCCTTTAAAAATTATTAAATGATAGTTAATATTATAAAAAAGATCCTTAACTGGTTTGACATTGAAAATATTTATCCCTTGTGATGGAAAAATCAATGCAGTCAAGCAGGGCATGCTGGACCGTTATTCTTTTATCACAAGGGATGCAAAACGGAGGATCCTCACCTTTCAATAAGTATTCGTGTATATATCTTAAATGGCCAATACGACAACGTCGTATAATGACCTCCTTAAATCTGGACTGGCAACCCAAATAGGTTCCTCAAGTAGGCCTCACTTATACTGAAGTAAACAGTTTCGAAGTAAGGCACAGCCACTTTAGTGATAACAACTTCATGTTTATTGCATAGAGCGACGTTTCGATGTACATCATTAAGGATAAACAAGCTGGTTGGATGGTGATTGAATAGTTACTAGTATTTGAGTCCATCACTTGGTCGATGGAATGGAGTTCGACTCACTGAAGTTCATTTACAGATAGAATCTATCAATGAGCTGTTCAACTAGCATCCTATCCGCCTGTTTACAGTCTAATACTTTCTGTATATTGGTTTTCAGATTTGTATAATTTGTTGATCTTACGTATACTCTCCGACTGGCCTCATCAAACAATGTGCAACTTGCTCTCAATTACCTGTTGTTGTTATTGTTATTCTGCTGCTTGCCATACATACTATGAATATAAGATAAGGATACTTTACTTGAATAACATACATGTACTTTATGGATGAACAACTTCTTTATTCAGCTGATGCGACATTTCATTATGGGAAGTGCGTACAACTCGGACCAAGAAAAGTCGGTACTAAAAATGGATTGCAGAATATTAAAACAAAACCTGCACGTGTGGGTTGATACACTTCCTGCCTTCACAAATGTATAGTTTGATTGAAAATGTATATTTAACAATGAAATAAAAAGAAAACTATTTATACATACCGAGAGTCCTGTAGAAAAGACACCGTCTTTTGTTATGTGTTTTGCTTGATATGTCTTTGCGAGAAGGTTACTTACTTCTCTTAGCTAGTGACGTGTGACGTCGGTCCGTGACGTCCTGGGCTTCCTGTCAGTGTTTTGATTAAAAGACTGAAGCTCCCTTTATTGCCTCATGCTGAATCAGCACAGGATGTTTATGTAAATGCGAAGTCAATATTGGCGAATGTCAGTTGGCAGATGTGACATGTTTAAATATGGGTTAAAGCTCTTACAGCTTTGTTAATTTATTAGAGTTACATATGAAAGGCAAACTGGTATTATATCTACTTAAATGCCACTTCATAGAGTCTTATTGCGTCGTATTTGAAGCAAACGCGTTGCTCAAGGTGAAGTCCTTTTTTCTATATTCTCAACATAGTTGCCGTATCACAAGCGTTTCAGCATGAGTTTGGATTTGATACTTGAACGCAATTGTTTTGATTTTTTTAATCGCGTTTCGTTTGCAGGTCAGTATATTAAGTGTCTGTTCAGCCTGACTTAGCCCGGGCAGTCAAAAGCGCCTTAAACGTAATAGATGTATCCACAATTTTATTAATATCTATAGAATGGTATTACATCTACCAAAATATCACTTTTGTAATGTTACAAAATGTCACATGTAACGATAACTGGTCCGTTAAATTGAAACCCTTTTCCCTCTCCATTCCCAACATAGCCTCAACCAAAAGTGTTTAGTCTCGGATCGGTCCGACTTGGCCCGGGCCAGTAAAAAGAACTTAAACCTCACACATGTGTCTTGAATTGTGTTTAAATCCATTTATTAGCAACTACCTAAAGATCACTGTGGAGAGTTTCAAAGCGTAGTATTTGAAGCAAACTCGTTGCTCAAAGATAGTTTGGATGCCAACGAGAATGTTACTTTTCTTATATTCTGATTGTCAAAGACACACGATGTGAAAACATCCATCAATATATCGATTATATGACGCCATATGTGACGAAAACATGTTTAGATGATTGCATCTGTGTCGCGCATAATCAGTTGCTGCAGCTGCCAGCCAGCTCTTCGTCAAGAATTGCGTAGCTCAATATACGGTAAGGACACCCTTTCAGCATCATTGAAAAACGACGAAATACTTGACACCTTCAAACTATCGCCTGCCAAGACTGAAGAAAGGAAAGTCAGTATTGTCACAAAGCAGAAATACGTATCGGCGACAGAACATTGACACATCTGAAACGATTGGGCTACTTATAATGACACCAGATGTTGTTTTCGAGGCATGGCTATACTATAATGAATATTTTTCAGATACAATATTCTATGACAATATTGGGAGTGGTTGCTGTATGCACCTGGTGCATAGATACCTTGTAACTGTACTAGAATTGACCGTTTTGCCTCGTCGTTTACTAACTTAGAGGCGAGATGGCCAGGTAGTGCGCATGACAGCCACATGCTAAAGAAGACTAATGCACAACAACGAAAACGAACTTGTGGTCCTGGAGCTTGCAGTAATAAACTTTTTGGGCCAGCATTTCATTGTGCCTCCTCGTGCCACCTCGGTGTGCGGAAAAAAAGTCCTCGGAACAAAGTCCTAAATTTGCCTTGGAAAAACAGTCCTTTTTGGAAAAAGGAATTTTTGACAAAAGAATAAAAAGTATTTTTTAGTTTTTCATAGTTTTTCATAGGCTTTGTTGACTTTCATGCATTGTATATTCATACAACAAATGTAAAAGAGACAGATCCTGAATGCATTACAGAGGTTTTCAGCTTTATTCCTACTACAGAATACTGATGAATATTAATGTCTACTGATTCGTTTTCATTCTAATGTTTACTACCATGCCAAGGCCATACAGCATAGGTCTGGAATGTCTGTTGAGTCTTATTCATTCTAATGTTCACTGTCACGCCATGTAGGAACTCGGGGTTGATTTTTTTTCCTGCTGCCATGTCACTGCATAGCTTGTGTAGACGTTCCTGCATCTTGACATATACAGCACTTAGTTTCCTCACATAGGCATTGGCAGTTGCGCCCTGGGCAATGACAGTTATCACAGTAGATTGCTCCTTCTGGGACCACTCCATTGTGCGCCAGAGAGATGGGTGATGATGACCAACCATTTTGTATTCCATCCATAACACACACACTGTTTGTTCACGCATCGCCTGACAGTGTCGCTTCATGAACATTCCAGACAAGTGGTGGAAACATAGGGGGCACCCTTCTGACACTGAATCTGGAACTCTTCTGGTATCTTTCCAAGGTCAATGCCTCTAATTGGTGTTGGATGGGTGGGTCGCTGGTTGCGCATTGTTCTCTTGCAAGACTCAGGATCTAGGGCTCTTACATCTTCAGGTTAGTCTGAGGACACTTCAGCGTAAACTTGGCCTGGTTTATCTTTGGTCTCCTCTTCATGGACAGGCGCATTTTTGTCAGTGCTGTCTGAGCTTCATCAGGAGAGTGGTTGTGGGATTTGCTCAGCACTGGCTTTACATTTTCAATGTTCGTCAACAGTTGGCCCTGGCAGTTCATACTGGACTTACTACATTTCCAAACAATTTTGTCTTTTCGACTTGCGTGTTTGGTGTACATATACCCATCCAAGACTAGCTTCAAACCACCCTTGTTGGTCTGAATAACTGAATGTTTCTAAATGTCATTTAAAAGATCAAAGACCTATCTAAATATTTATTCTAAATATGTGAGTACTTCATGTTTTTAATAAGTGTCATTAAAAAGATAAAAGATCAATTTATCTATTTAATAACCCATATGTGTGAGTTATCAATGTTTTTTTAAAATCTTTGACATCAAAGTTAATGAATAAATAGGTTTTTATTACAACAGGACTTTTTGTCCGGAGTACTTTTTCCGGTACTTTTTGACAATGAACATTTATTCCTACAATCAAAACTATTCCGTCGTGAATTTCTGGTCAAACACATAGGACTCTTCAAAACGACAAATCCCACACAAGAAGCAAAGTCAAACCAAACAATTATGAACAGGGATTCATATGACAGACGAACGAAAAATCCCACACAGGAGGCAAAGTCAAAGCAAACAACTATGATTACAGGGATTCATATGACAGACGGACCAATGGCTTGTGACATGTTTAGAGTGAGGAAAAGAGCCTCGCTCTGAGCAACGTGATTGTTTACATTACTTCGATTTGAGACTTTATAAAGAGGCTCTTAAGAAGATATAATTCTATTCTGTATATATATATAAATACAAGTCAGGATATATGTGTGAGGTGTAAGTTGTTTGTGACGGGTCTAGGACAATTGCCACCCGGACAATTACCACCCGGAGAATTGCCACCCAGGACAATTGCCACTCGGACCATTGCCACCCAAAACACATAAAAATAATTCAGTTTCTTTACCAACTTTTATTGCGTTTGAAATGGTAATCCATAACAAATGATAGCATATTACTGCATGATATGATCCATATACTATTACTTTCATAATACTTTTACCGTTGCATTAATCATCTTTGCACGGACAGCATTAGCAAATAAATGTCCTGTTACTTTTTTCATGTAGACATAATTCATTTCTTAATTTCATCTAGAGGAGCGCATAAAGTCCACACACATTCACCCCCTCGTTTTATGCTGTATGGAGAACTAGGAAGATTTCCTATTAGAATTATGATAGATAAGCGTTTAATAAACTTTTGGCACAATTAACTTACCAAAAACAGGTGTTTTTAAGCTAAAGAACTTAATTAACAATTATTTATCACTTCAAAGAACAACAAATAAAAAAGACAATCCCGGGCTCTCGTACGTTAAAGATATATTAGACAATACTTGACTCTCGTATGTTTTTGAAAATCCCTCAATTTGTACAACCCAGGGGCTGGTCTCAAAAGTTGAAAATATTCTTAAAGATGAATTTATCCAAAACTGGCAAAATGGCATTATTTCTAGTCCCAAAGGGAATTTATTACCAACATTTGCAGTCATTTCCAAATTGTGATGCATATGTCCGCCTTCCAAAACTTATTTCTTTACCATTATTGAGATTTACAACATGACTGATTGAGGCTATGTTGGGAATGGAGAGGGAAAAGGGCTTCACTATAAGAGACCAATTATCTCTACATGGGGCATTTTTTAACATTGCAAAGCAATATTTAGGAAGATAAAATACTTTTGGACGACCCAGGCCAAGCCGGACCGAACAATTGTGACGGAGACAATGTTTAGAGTGTGTGGAAAATATCGCATCATTTACCAGTGAGCATGCTTCAAATACGATGAACAGTGACATTCTGCGGTGGTATAGATGTAAAAACCTTTCCTGGCCGACAGAAATGTGTATCGGGATTGACTGAAGCATTTATACGTTTTAAATCATGTTCCGTATAACGATTCCTCTTTTAGACGTAACTTTGCTCAGTCACTTTCACAAGCCGCTCGTCATCACGAGTTTTAAACGATTTACTCGTAATAAGTTTTATCATGGTACACGTTTGTGGCTTCTCCAGACTAAATTCCCGCACACCCATGCCCAAGGTGTGGAACAGGATTCAAAAGATTAAGGGCAA